GAGAATGTTCTGGAAGAGGTTGGCTGTCCAAGTGCCCATACTCTCCTGCCACAACCGAAGCTGCCGGATACGATATTTCGATGTTAATCAGTTCAGTGAAGAATGCTCAGTGCTCCTAACACGGCATATGTTCAAGTGCACCACCCAGAGTGAAACCCCGACGTGCATTCTGGACTTCGCTTGGACCCTGTACAAGCTGCTGCATCTACGAGCCACGACATCACCACATGAAGCTGACGCTGGCCTCATATGCAGAAGGGGCGATTACGCCATGCAGCTGTGCTACGCCTCCCGGTAAGCCCGCGTCTGCGGCCACGGCCAATCCTAGGTCAACTTTCATCTTGTATTGCCTCGCTGCTGCCTGCGGAGTGCTGCTAACAAAGTCGAAAGTGCGATCAACGCATACTCATGTCTTCTGGCATCTGTTGGCGTCCTTGGGCCAGTGCAGAATTGCATGGTCGTCTTGGGTGGAAGTGGCCATGCAGAAGAAACATCTTGTGCAGGCACAGACACTCATATTTTCGATCTGCCAATGAAGCACGACTCACACCATCTTGGCTTCGCATCTGGGACAAAACCAGGAACTGGCAGTATATTGAATAGCAGCGTGATCCCACATGCTCAACCATGCCCGGCAGTGTACCAGCACGTGTTGCTGAGGTGCAGCACTGAATTGATCATGTGAACCTATGCACAACTCAGACATCAGTTCTGCGCGATCAGCATGCACATGCCTCTTGCCTTGCTTCGAACCTCATTGAGCAGCGGTTTGATCCACGACGCAAGATCAAAGGGGGCACCACCTCATCCTCTCCTGGTGTTGCTGCTGCAGACTCGTTCTCAGGATAGCCTGCCTGCCAGCATTCGCGAAACGCTGAGTACTCGACTAGCACAAGTTGGACAGAATCCAGAATCCGGGGTCCCAGCTCGTTATCGCTGTAATCTGGCTTGGGCTGGTAGGTGACCAGGCAGGCCACAATGGTAATGGCAAGAACCAGTGCTGCCCTTAGGCAGGAGAAGAAGTGCCTAAACTTGTGAGATTGGCAGGTTTTCCTGCGATGCGAACGTTTTTAGTGAGCTGGAGGACACCCGCAAGTGACCGAAACAGCTCATGGCACTTGCGACACCCACTGCTTGGCTTGGCTGCGATAGGCCGTGCATATACGGACTTTCGTGATTTTCCAAACTGCATGTTGTGCACCAGGAAGCAGTTTGAGGCAAGCACACACCAACAATGACCGACCTTGAGCAGGCTTTCTTTCTTGGGAGACGCCAGAAGAAGGACAAGCAACATCTTACAGCAACATGTAGGAGGTGAGTCGGTAAGTGGCCGACAGGGCCAGGGCGGTGTCGGAACCTGCAGATGTCGGCTGCGAGGTCACCGCATGGTCTTCCACCTTGAGGCCCCATAGTGAGATTCGTGTGAATGTGATCATGGGATTGTGGCCTCCTGCTGCATCTGTAGCAGAAGCCTTGGGGATTGCAGCTCCTCATGAATCAAAGGCGCGTCAGAGCAGAGCTTTTACCACAGTTGAAGTCCTTGTGCCGGCCCCAAAGGAGCTCCTGTGCCAATGCAATGGCCGACCTTGCCCCGGCTGAAAGGAACTCCCGCTGCCGCCACAGAACAGAACACAGCTCACTTTCAACCAAGTTGCATCGCAATGGCCGGTGGGCCAAGCTGTGTCGCCCCGTGCCCCTGGGGGAAGACAGGGCAGCAATGAATGCTTGGCTTCAGCTTACATGCCCGCAGGCACCTCACCTGCCCATGGCATGTGAAGTGAACAGTGGTGCGTAAGCTCTGAACGGCAGCATCACCAGCCTCAAAGAGGCCTCATCTTCTGTTTTCCGTTCCTATCTACCGGCTTCATGCTGCTTAAATCCCAACCCCTCCGGTACGTAAGCCCAGAACGGTCTATCAGAGACCCCTCAGCACTTCGTGCGCTCGCGGAGGCAGCGAGTTGGAGGAGGACCGGTGCCTTCCTCAGGTGACATTGCTCTCAGTGCCACATCCACACAGGCTCTGTCGTGGCGGTTGCGGAGCATGCAGCCACGCCGCTGCTCCTGGAAACCAGGCAAGCTGCAGGAGCTGTCAGCTGCGGCATGGCTGATTGCCAAGAGAACCTTGCCAAACGCTTGGTAGATCTGCCTGTACACGCCTGCACCTATCCATGTCCGCCCTCCTGTCATGTGTAGAACCAGCAACCGGCTACCAAAAGCACTAAGAAAGCCCTGGAGCAGCAACTGAGACCAATGTCTCGAAGGGATTCAACCAAATTCAATGAACCCTCACATCAAGTCCTGTTTTGTACTTGGCCATTGGCTTCCGAAGGAGACGCAATTAAGGGTTGACTAGAAGCTGTGGGCCAATAGAATGTGTCTGTCTCTTTACCTATACAGAACAATCGGACTGCTGAATCGAGAGATGGCTCGATGCCAGTAATAACTCAGGCTCTCAACGCACAAACATGTCTCCACACCTTTGTGTTCATTAACCTGCTTATATATATATATATACATCTATTATATATATATACACATACATATAACTATATATTTATATATTTTTACTTAAATATATACATATACATATATATATATATATACATATACATATACATATATACATATATAAATCTATATTCTTATATTTGTATAGATATATATGTATATTAGTACAGTAGGTGTGTGCATCCCTGTGTGTACGTACGTACGTACGTACGTACGTACGTACGTACGTATGTATGTATGTATGTATGTATGTATGTATGTATTTATGGCTGTATGTATGTTCTTATGTATTCATTGATGTATGCATGTATGACAGTATGGTATGGATGCCATGCAGTGTAATGCAATGTAACGCAATGTCATGCATTGTCAGGCAAGGTAATGCAATGTTCTGCAATGAAACTAAATGTATGTACTGTATATCAGTAGGCTGGCAAGTTCGGAACCTGTGGCACAAAAGCCGTACACGCCGTTGTGCCTTGACTCCCATGCTGCTTTCCGCATGCTGTCAACGTTACCGAAGTGCGCCACCACATTGTCGATATGCTTTCTAGAAACCACGTACAGCATTAGGCCATTATTAGGCGTTCAGAAGGCGGGCTATCGACTCGTCACGCCAACGCAGCGGCGCACAAACCTGCAACGGACCTGCCACCCCCTCAAGCAAGCCTAAACCGTCCTCGATCCCGAAACCTACCGCGCGTCCCGTGCAGTGACTCCGACACCCAAACCGCTCACAAGCCCGACAAGCAAACGAAGCCTGCACAAAGAGACAACAAGCATTCCAAAAGGCCCCTAAGACCCTCAAACCTGAACCCGAACCTGAAGCGTCACCCGAGAATCCGAATCCCACAGCACGAACCGAGCAAGCGGCAAGTAGGGCACTCCAGGGTTCGCTAGCAATAGTCCTGCAAAGGCGTCTGAGAAGGCAGCGGAGGCTCCCTGCGAGGCTGCGCTGCTATGCTCTGCTACGCTTGTCGCCGCTTGTCCTCATCGCGTAGTAAGGTCGCCTGCTGGGTTCGCGGAAGCTGCAGGCATCGAATCTCAAGCTCTCAAACCAAACCCAGACGTGGCACCAGTAACGCTGCCAGGGCACGTAAGTTGACGTTGAGAGGCCAAGGATTCGGCACTCTCGCAATCTGAAGCAAGAAACGGCAAGAAACGCATGCGCGGGCACGAATGGATGCGACCTCTATGGCAAAAGCGACGAGTCTGCAACAGGCATCAAAGTTACAAAGCCATGGTCGCAAAGAAAATGGAGGCTTGTTGAGGGGGGGCTTTAGGCTTGGACTGAATTCAACGTCTCCTGCATGCGCCGGCAACTCAGTTGTAACACACAAATGCCACCGTCGCTTTTCCACGTCCGGGACTTGCCGTCTTGTTTGCTGCATCTTTAGCGGGAAGCTGAGTGAGACACATAGTAAGCACTAACTTCGAGACCCTCTGCTCAACAGGAAGGGCAAGGAAGACCAAGTGCCTGAGTGACGGGCACGAGTTGGCACGATCTCTACCAATGCTTGGCGAGGCGTTGAGGTTCATGCCCTCCTCATTAGGCAGATAGCCTCGCGACTGGCCACGCACAGACCTAGGTGAGGGGGGTCATATCTCTTGTCTTGTCTCTGCCCCTGCAGCCCTTCCTAGGGCTTTCACAGATGCAAGTTCCTTGGCATAGTTGTCATCCTGAGATCACCAGCTGATGGTGCAAATGCCATTGAAAAGGTCGTCCAAACTCAGAACATGCCAGTAAGGGATGTACCAGGATGAGGGCAAGCAGGCTGCCAATCAATCCCAGAACCAGCAAGACGTACAAGGCCTCGGAGACCACTCACCGATGACGCATGCATCGCATGACGCGTGTATGCACCTGCCGCCCTGTACTCGCATCCCATCAGTTGCCATCTTTGCAGTGCAAAATTGTGCAAATCCACCAACCTCAGTCCTGGTCGGAACTGAGGCGCGCACCAACTTAGCCGATTCTGCTTGCTGAAAGCGCTGGAGAAGATTGCACCTGCTAGCTGAGCAACCGAAGTGATGCGGTTGCGAGCTCGGCAGGTGAAGCAAGTCCCTTCTGAACGGTCGGGTTGATGTTTGCACAGCCGGCTACGATTGAAAAGTGCGACGCACTATTTGCAAGAGCAAGATCAGAGGATTATACTAATCGGGGGAGCCGAAAGACATGCCGTTACCATTTCATTACTGGCAATTTTGCACTACTGCTCGTACACAGTAAGAACGGTTTTCAGATAAAGCCACTCATGAGGCTACCCATTGATTAATCGCTCGGAGCTGCCGCAGCACAACCTCATCTGTACCTTTACGCACAAATTCTCTAGCGACCTCTAGCATTGGAGCTCGTGTTCCGCTGAAGCTGCACATCCACACATGACTTCGCGAAGATCGTTGTGTGATGTGTCAAGTCAAAAGCTACCTTCCGCTCCGGCACTCTCGCCTGACTTACAACGTTGAGCTGAATCAACTGCAAGTTTCATCCTTCACGCGCTGACCGGCCGGGAAACCCGGCGTCTGAATCTTCTATCTCCGGTTTTTGCGAACACTGCAGTGGAATAAATCTCGTCCAGAGTTTGCCTCTGATTGGAGCCACTTGGGCCGAGGAAGTTCCAGACTCTGTTCTTCTTGTTCTTCTTCTTTACCGTTTCCGAGGATTTGCAAAAAAAACCCTCCGGTAACCGCATTTTTGCGAGACCTCTCAGCATTACTGCCGACCGTCCATCCCGCATTGCCATCAGAACCTCAGGGCCCCGCCCGACCAAGAAGGGAACGATGGCGACGAAGACACCTCAGTGTCAACGGGCAGCCGACATGGAGCCATGGAAGAAGGCTGTGCCCGCGGAAGAGTTAAGCATATTTGGCCACAGCACCCATAGACACAGCTCCGTTGAAGATGTTGAGCTTCCCGAGATCAGAAAGAACTAAAGATGCCATCATCACCTCGCCGCGTTGTTGGGCCGCTTTTCTACTGCATGGAGCACGCACCGAGGTTCTGACACCTGCGACCACAGAGCCTGGCTTAGTCACTTGCTGAGTATATATTTTCAGGCAGGTCCAATGATGTCCCAGCTACACTACGCAAGTACCACTTGTCCTAATTCTCAGACGTCAGCCGGTGGCCCAATGTGTTGTCAAGCCATCGTGCCCTTCTCCTTGCATCGATTTTGCGACTCTGAAAACCCAAGTGCAGCAACTCCGAGCAGATTCCTGGTCGATACAAGGTCGCAATCATCGGCTTTAATATGATGGGATAGACCTGGCGCCGGGATGCAGCCTTAATGAGACGCCTCCAATGGCAGTAAAGGCATGGACGAGTCTAAGCAGCAGGCTCCCACCACACTGGCCTTGCACATTCCACCAACCGGCCCGAGCACAACCCGGTTCCCAAGGTTTATTGGTTTCACAGAGAAATAAGTGCCACACCCCTGCGCACAGACGGGCCAAGTTGCCGGCACGGCCTCAGACCGGCCAAGACTCTCTTGGCACTGTGCAGCGTGACGTGAACATTTCCCGCAACTGGGACAGCGCCGTTCTGCACCAAGTTAGCGGCTTGTGGGAAGTGAAAGCAGCACGTTGGATTTCACGGCAGAGCCTAAGCGGGTTCTGTCTGCATCAGCTCTGTTGACGAAAACACCTTTCAGGTGCCCACTTAGCCCGCAAAAAGTTCGAAACGGCATAGTGCCTTCTAGGGATTCCGGATTCCTTCTCATAACGAGCCAGGACATGACGGACGAGCAAAGACTCGAAAAGAGCACAACAGGACTCTGCGATGGGGCGGCCGAAGGTGAAGTACCCCAGCAGAGCGAAGCTGGCACCTGGCAAGGTAATCCAGGTCTCTCATAATGATGAGAAAGAGTCGGCGAAGCCCCAAACGACTCGCCCGGGCGGCAAACGATGAAAAGCACCGCGAAGCCCCAGTAAACGACCTTCGCGAAGGCGCCTGAAGAGGGCAGAGGAGCTATGCGGTGCTGTAACACAAGGATCGGAGGAGAAGGGGAAGCTTTTCAGCGTCGCTTGAAGGCCTGGTGATCGGTTTCGCATCTCCCCATACATGGGGAGCACACACCTTGGATCTGACAGGCCGCTGAGGCGCATCCCGAATCGCATCCTCTGAGGTCAGCACATTTGCAACACCACAGTCTGCATCATGCTTGCAAACATAGACACCTCAAAAATCAAGAAACGGAAAGACCGAGCACTGCTCATCGGCTCATCTCAGCCCAGATGCACTGCCCCATGAAAGGCCGGCCATGCAGATCGGGAGAGAAGCCTGGCTGCTCTGGCTTCTTCTTCTTCTTCACAATCTTTCCGAGGAATGGCATTGGCATGTGCTACTGGCAAGCTGTGCCTTGCTGCCGGTTCAGGGGTATTTAATGCACTTCCTGACTTTCACTTCTCCGAAGGCTACACGTAGTCTCGGTTTGTGCACAAGCACCACATCTGTCACAACATCGAAAACTGGCTCCCATAGGGAGGAAAAGGGGTGGTGGAAGAGTGATGGACACAGCACCTTGGGTGTGTGCGCTACCTGGAACTTCTACGGGCGGCTGTACTTGTCCGCGGAAGCCCTCTCCTCAGTCGGCCTTGAAGCAACTCACGTCTTCCGGCCGAAGCCCTACGAGGAGCTCGCTTTCAGCCCAAAGCTCTGCCCAGATTTTGGGGTCGTAGGAAGTGAGTTTGGGCCGAAAGGGCAAAAGCTGCCGTGCCGGTCCTGGGAGATCACCAGCAGGATCGAAGTCTACGGAAGCAGTCGGGCGGCCGTCCTGCCAGTAGCGGCCCGAGAGTTTGCCTTCTGACTGTGTGGCCAGCACCAGGGAGGTCTTGGCGCCTTCTTCTGGCGACTTGAGCACATAAGAGAAGAAGTCCTTCGCCAGGTCCCGCACAGGCGAGGCCAAAGACGAGGCCAAGGTCTGGCCCTGGCCGGTGCCCATGTAGCGCGCCAGCTCGGTGTTCACAACGCCGGGGTGGACTGCATTGGCCACCACTGGCAAGCCACGCTCACGGCAGCGCCGGTCCAGCTCGTACGCAAAGAGGACATTTGCAAGCTTCGACTGGCCGTAGGCTCCCCAAGCAGAATATTCATAGGACTGCAAGTCTCCAAGGTCACCCTTCAGGAGTTGCGATGGAATCTGATGAGCACTTGAACTCAAAGAGATCACACGAGCAGGATCAGCCGCAGACCCGCCCTCAATCAACTTGTCCATGAGAAGGTTTGCCAAAAGGAAATGTCCCAAGTGATTCACTCCGAACTGATACTCGTATCCGTCCTCGGTCTGTTTGCGATCCGGAAGAGCCATAACGCCCGCGTTCAGGATAAGCGTGTGTATCGGCATCCCTTCCTTCAGGACGGACTGGGCAAAGCTCCGCACTGACTTCAGCGATGCAAGCTCCAGTGGTAAGTATCGAAGCTCAACCGCCCGATCAAGAGTGCCAACCTCTTCCCGCAGCATCTCCATGGCCTTCTGATGCTTCTCAGCATCTCGCCCTGCCATGATGATGGACGTGTAGATTCCTGATCGCACGAGGCCTTCAACAGTGGCAAGGCCAATGCCTGTTGAGGCACCAGTAATCACAGCCGCTTTGCCGGAGGTGGAGGAAGAGGAATTGAATCCGCCCACCATCAAAGAGAAGGAGACTGGGCTCACCTCGCTGACCTCTTCGTTACTCACTCGCTTGGCTGGCTGTGCCCGGTGCTGGTGACGAGAAGCGCCACTCGAACTTCGGGCTCCTGATCCGACAAAAGCCCTCACGTTCACGCCAGCGAGACAGAGGCCGAAAAGGCCCAGGAAGGCGAAGAGCCTGCGAGGCTCCCGACGCTCCCGCTTCCCTCTGACTGCCATCGGTCACCAGCACTCGGACGTGGGCCGCGCTAGCCCACCTACTGCAGCCTACTGTCGAGGGTGCTACCTTGCACAAGCGACGGACATAAACGCATCGGGCGGAGGTGCGGAACCTGGCAGGATCCCATACAGGTCACGGCTCCACAAATTTTGCTGCGCCTCGTGATCCTGCATGAACACTGATGTCATCAGCGCGAAGACCTCTGATCCAGGGAGTCGGAACGCTGGGTCATACGACCGACGTGGGCGCTCGGCTGCAGGTGAGGTGACAAAAGGGATTCAAACGAAACTACAACCACACCCACCACCAACAACAACAACCACGACGGCTACGATGACGACGTTCACCTATTAGCCAGGACCACCAGGCTACCACCACCACCACCACCACCACCACCACCACACTACAACTACGACCATCAGGACTATGACTACGACTGGGGCTACTCCTACTCCGACTCCCACTCCTACTCCTACGTCTAGTACTACTTTTGATACTGCTACTTCTGCTACGACTACGACGACGACTACTGCTACTTCTACTACGACGACTACTACTACTATTACTACTACTACTACTACTACTGCGACGACGACGACAATGACAACTATTACGACTACTATTACTATTACTGCTACTACTACTACT